TGCGTGTATTTTCTAGTATACTATATATTTATGCCATTTCAAGAGGCTATCTCAGTAAAACCGACCACCCGGTCGATTCTGACTCAGAAACAGATTTCCCCCCATACTTAAATATTTTGAAGGTCTGACCTTAGGAATAAATAATATCAAATTAGTTTTTTCGAAGGTCAATTCCGAAAGGCGTCTGATTGGAATATATGAACATATTGTCACAACTGCTAAAACGTAAATACGTGCATTGATAACATTTTCACACGAAAGTATAGCTTTACCCTTCCAACTTGTCTACTAATCAGATACAAAGATGTGTTGTTTTGTATTTTGGCAGCAACAAGTATGTTCTAGCTGGTAATTTGGTAACCCTCGTGCACAAGGTGCGCGTGATTGTCTCAAAATACATAAACTTTAAAAGATTATTTCAAAATCGTGGCACCTGACCTTTAAATGTTTTATATAAGGTACTATCTTTAGTCAATACAAAACACAACTGAAATTTTCCTGCACTATGTTTTTGAAAACATGGTGAGCATTTCAATTTTCGCAAAAATTGCAAAATTTTCAGAAGCAGCCAAAATGCACGTAATATCGTCAGCGAAACTCGATGTTATACTAACTGCTAGAATTACTTAGGCCTACTTTGCATCGGTTTCGACCGAATTTTGTTAGCAATTCGTCTATTGTTTTTCATGACAATAAAAATCCTCCCTTGGCCAACAACGTTAGCGCGCGGTTAATATTGTACATGGCTTTTCCATATACGATTGAATCCAGATTGCAGCTTTTGAGCCTTGTTATCCAGACTTTAAAATGTTTTTGTAAGCGGTTTATTCGTTTGGGTTTATGAAATTATACTGAACTAGCGAGATCATCCAGGGTTCTAAACGTCCATTAATGACTTTTAAAACTAGCAATATTATGATACTGAATATATGTAAATATTGAGTTCAAATTGTATTATCCGTTGGTTTGCATGTTGAAATTTACACCACCAGTGAGTAGTCGCCAGTTCATAGCAAATCATACAATATCTTATTTTTAATATTGCTATATAGTTTCAAAAGTCATTAATGGACGTTTAGAACCATGGATGATCTCGTCAGTTATAATTTCAAAAACACAAACGAATAAACCACTTACTGTATAAGAACATTTGAAGTTGAAGTTTTAATGACGAAGATCAAATGCTACAATCTGGATTCAATCGTATGGAAATGTCATGTACAATATTGACACTTTAATCGCGCGCTCGTTGTTGGCCAAAGACTGAAGATTTTATCGTCATGAAAGACTATAGATGAATTCGGCTAACAAAAATCGGCAAAGTAAGTAATTTTAGCGGTTAAGGTGGCTCAATACACTTTTTGGCCTAAGGGGCAACAGTCTTATATTTTCTTTTTTGAAGCGAGAAAGTGTCTTAAATTTTCATACATTTAAATTGCAATTAAGACAATATTTGGAAAAGAACCGTTGTATCCATGGCAAATTGATATTACAAAAACGGCAAAATATGGTAGTTTTTCTGTTTTTCTCAAAAACTCATTCGGTTACCCCCATGTCTTTTCAATATATCATGAAATTGAGTATTAAGAAATCTTCATGGAAAGTTTGAAATAATTCTGTGGAACCAAAACTGTGGAATAAAAATTCAGCTTTTTAAAATTTTTTCATCCTGGATGCGAAAGTGCATATCTACTAATGTGCAAATTTGCAGGGTGCCTTACCGAACTCGTTTAGGAAATTCGTTGTGTTTATTGTGGTAAATTTACACGCGGCCAACGTTTTTGCCCACTCTGCAAGATCAATGATTTGACATGCGCGTACACAAGTTCGCAGGCGCATCAGAAAAAAATCACGCAAAATCCACGCAAGGAAATTTGTATATTTGTTGGATTGTTGATTCAGATTGTATAAAAAATATGATTGGATTCTCTGTTAAATAACTATGTGATTGAAAGTATTTTACAACATTCGAAAGGATTCGTTTGTTCTTCGTCACTCGTGGGCGACTTTTGTCCAAAGTTCTACGTTGCGAACGATCATGTTCCAGGGCATTTGGTGGCATGTACAGCATTCCAACGTCTCCAGTTTCGCCAAATTTCTGCTGCAACGTTAAAAGATCGCCGTACGATAGTCCACTTTCTGCAATTTTGATGGCCATTCCATGCGAGATAGGACTGTGATCTTCGTTTGGCGAGTGGAGGTTTCCTACGAAACGTTGGGAGCGATCATGTCGATTATCAATTATAAGTCAAATTTTGCAGCACGGACTGACAATATCTGGAAGAAATCTACTATTGTTTTCACGTCAATGGCCATTTCAGGACTGAGTAAGATCTTTCATAATGCAATCACGTCTTCTAATGCATCGTGGGCAACGAAATCTTCGTCGAACAAACATTTGTAAAAACTTCCCAAATTTGCTTGGCAGAACTCGCCGTTCGATTGCATCAATGCTCTCATAAGTAGTAAACTGTCTCCAAAACAAATGTTCATGTTATGCAGTTTATCTTCGAAACTGTCATCACCGTTGGGGAGAAGTGTAGGGACGTCGAATATGGCGGCATTGAGATCAACAAGGACAGTTATAAGATTGTCCATTTTGATAGGATTTGGACCACAGGTAGGTAAACTTTGTTCATCTTGAAGGAATTTTACAAATGATTGTAATTCTGCTTCCAGGGTGACCGAGCTTACTGGGTTAAACCTTTTGCACAATGTTCTGGTCCCATTTATGGTTTCTGCAGTTAGATTGTTGACTTTTGATGCATAGAAGCAAACAGATTTTTTAGGCATTATGTAGGAGGAGAAAGTGTGACCATTTTGACTGATAGCTGACGGTGCGACAGATCTCTGCCTGTTTACCTGTACAGGTTGTTTCGGCGTCAAATAAAACAAATTGGTATCTTTTCTCTTTGTCATAGCTGTAGTATTTCTTCTGTAGTCTTTCTGTAAATGGTGGGACTAATTTGGTCATTTCTTGATGATTTTTTGTTGTTAGGCTCATGATAATTTTGTCGATATCTACAACTGTGGTGTTACTTGCAACTAGGCATGCAGTAGAGCTTTCTTTAACGAGATTCAGTCCAACACCAGTTTTATATGTTTTACCTTCTTTTGCTTCTTTCTTGGCTTTGTTTGCGATTCTTTCCGACTGTGACTGATGTCGCCTAAGTTTAAATGTTTTTGAAGATTTTCTAATTTTATCTTTTTGTTGTTTTTTATCCATTGTAGAATTGTGAAATAAGCAATTGGTACCTATGTCAATACTATCGAGTGTGTCATTGATATAACTAAATCCAATGTTCTTTTGAGCAACCGAGCAGGCAACCCGAAAGTCATTGCTCTCGCTACAGCCATAAAAGCGGATTTTGGGGTTTTTGCTTCCTATAACACTGTTGAGGGATTCATTTCTCTGCGAGTTGGCAAATGGTAACAGTTTTCAACAACAGTGTCTGTGGCATACTCATCAAATAAGGTGGTAAGTGTATTCTTTAATTCGTTGCCCTGCAAGTCTTTATTCATGTAAGGAAGTTCTGTACAATATGATGTTGGGTCTTTTGCCTGTACAATATGATGTTGGGTCTTTTTGGTAACCACACCACGATGAACAACAGCCACAATGGTCTCCGAAAGCACGAGGAACAATGTTTTTTAAAGCTGATGTTAAACTGGCTTTGTTTTGGTTTTGTGCAATACAATAGAAAATCCATTTTCCTAAATAGTTGATAACTTTTTGACTTAAAGTTGATGAATTTTGAAACTTGCAGCGAGTTGACAGGTTGTACATCTTTGATGTCAGAGAACGTTTTCCATGTACAATGTTTGACCACTTCTCAACTCCATAAGGTACATTCTGGCTCAAGTGGCAAAGAGGAGTAGTATCACCTACATAAATATGGAGAATCTGGCGTTTTTGGTGGCGGCTGAATTCCACAGTTCACACGCAACTGCTGGTTCCATTGCTTTCGATGACCCATCATGATTTTTTCTGCAGTCATGTCGCCTTGGTTCTTTCCTTTCTCCCGGGCATGGACACACACTCTACACGATTTGCACGTTGTTGTATACGCCAAGACACATCCAGTCTGCATGCCCATAGCCACCCTTGTCCAGTCAGCGAGTTGTCCTTTTCCACGCTTTTGCCATCCCATGTGGTATGACACAGGGATGCCAATTAAGCCATTCTCGTCTGCCACCTCCCTATTCTTTTCTGCCATTTTCTTTTCAACTTCCATGTTGGTTTTGCAGCTCGTTTGGGCCAATGACTCCACAGCTTTCCCTACCTCTCTTTCACGAGATTTAAATGTCTTGTTGTTCATTGTTGGAATTAAGTTCATAGTAGCAACCAGGTTACTTAGATGGGTATTACCAATGCCAGCATGAAGAGAACCAAGTACAGCTCTAGAATTGTTGTATGTCAACCGGCCGCGCTTTCCACTTCTATGTTCTGATGATGTTTTAATTTTATTGATTTTTCCACACAGGTTGCATTTTATGTCAAAGATGCTTGCACAAGACCAAACTTTTCCTCCTTGATGATGTTGTTCAACTCCAGTGGTCCTGAAACAAGATCATTCTAGTGAATTTGCAATCATGCGCATAGCTAAAGGGGGCTATGAGGGTCTGAAACGCCACACTTTATGTAAATATCAATATTGTAATTCTTCCAAAAGTAAGATAAAACTAGGGGGGGGGGGGAGGTTGCAGGTTTTGAATATCTTTCAATATTCACAATATTCTTAAATATCCCCCATTCACATGGGGCTCTTTGTTATGTACTCCAAGTGTGGTGCACTGTTTATACTTAGAATAATTTTCAAATATTTCTGCCCCATTTTGCAGTCTTAGCTTGCACTATGATAGTTGTTATACCTTGTAAACAGTGACTGCACATAGACAGACTCTTTGTCAACACTTGTAGATCTACAATACGACTCCTTGAGGCATGTGGAAAATATTTTCATCCTGAATCTCTACAGTTGTAAATAATGTTTGCTTTAATTAGTATGTTTTTGTCGTTCAGAGCTTTCACATAGTATTAATTCAGTTGCACACTTGCCTGTGTTATTCGTGCACGTTATTCTTTTCGCTGGTGTACATTTGTTTTCACTTGTGTTTTCTTCAAAGTTCAGCCTTCGTTTTGTAGCTCTGCCGCTTTCTCACCAGCTATCAAACCTTTTTTCGGCAAACTTTCCGTTCCTGCTTTTGTGGATGTTTTTTGCCACTGAAGTATTCCAAAATTCACTTCTGTAATTTTTACCTGCTTCTAATTTGTTTAGCGAAAATCCTGTGAAAATAGCCGCGACTAAAATCCCATGCAGTTTTTTGCCAGAAAAAACTGGCAATCCTCCTTAATCCGAAAGTGTATTGAGCCACCTTAATATACATCGAGTTTCGCTGACGATATTAAGTGCAATTCTTGCTGCTTTTGAAAATTTGTAATTTTTACGAAAATTGAAGTGCTTGCCATGACGCATGTTTCCAAAAACGTAGTGCAGAAAGATTTCAGTTGTGTTTTTGTATTGACTGAAGTTAGTACCTTAGCAGAAGTATAAAACATTTAAACATCAGGTGCCACGATTTTGAAATAAGCTTATGCATGTATTTTGAGACAATCACTCACCTTGTGCATGAGGCTTACCAGAACATATACCTGGTTGCTGCCACAATACAAAACAACATACCTTTGTATCTGATTAACAGACAATACTAACAGCTATACTTTCGTGTAAAAATGTTATCATTTAAGAACGTATTTATTTTTTAGTAGTTGTGACATTAGGGCCATTTATACGGGACAAAATAAGTCGCGTCTTACATAAGACGCGTCTTATATAAGCGAGGTTATCGCATAAATGGTTCTCTAAGGATTTATTCTTATTTGTACTTTCTATTGCTATAATGTTGTTTCGGTTGTTTTTGTTTTAATATGCAAGGCTAATAATTTTACGTTGTTTCAAGTTTCGGGCATGTGTAGTTAGAATTTTTGTCCAAAATTTCTTATTTAAGACGCGACTTAAATAAGAACAGCTAAAAGTCCTGTTCTTATGTAAGACGCGTCTTATCCAAGACGCGTCTTACACAAGAATTTTGTACCTTTTATACGACAAACTCGCGTCTTATTTAAGTCGCATCTTATTTTGTCCCGTATAAATGGTCCTAATATGTCCATATTTTCCAATCAGACAGCTTTCGAAATTGACCTTCGACGGGGTTAATATTTATCGGTCGCAAAAGATTTAAAAGAATTTTAAAAGAAACTAATTTGAAATAAGTTGTTCCTAAGGTCAGACCTTCAAAATATTTAAATTAAGTATATGGGGGAAATCTATTTTTTGAGTCAGAATTGACTGACTGGGTTGTTTTTACTGAGACAGCCTAAGAGGCGCAACTCGGCGTAAGATTTAATTTCCCATAACAAGTGTAAGATAAATGTTTTTAAAATAGGTTCAGTTGACATACTTGAATATTCTGTTCTGTTCCCAACAACATGGCTACATGCGTAAGGCAACGTAAAACACCACAACACAAAGGATTCAAATTTCGTTGGGTTACGTTTTGCTGTAGAGCTTGAGTAGGTCCAAGAATGTGACCAGTGCTACTTCGATCTTCCCTAATTGCAACAAAAATTAAAAATACACAAAGAAAAAATACTGTATATAGATAGATAGACAAATAGATGGTTCAATAGTAAAACTTTACAGCCATGGGCTGAATTGCGTTAAAGTTAATAAATAGTAAGAATAATTAGCTAAAAATTATTTAGAATATAGAACAACTAGCTACAATTTATACTTCACACGAATTATAGATTATAAAACTTTCCCTAAGTTTTTCTGTCTTTATTCTAGGTTTATAAAAGTACAACTTTTCTGCAGATTCCTCAGAATAGAAGATTCAGATATTCCTGCTATATATACTCCACGTTTGGTATGATATTACTACAGATTTAAAGAAAATTCATTTATTCCGAACGGGTTTTAACAAAGTAAGAACGGGATTTGAACAAAGTAAGGGTTTTGTACATGGAAATTTCGAGTGTAAATTTTTATACATTTATTAAACTTAACCAGGAGAATGCAGTTGCGAAACATGCAACTATCGGCCCTCCGGCATGAATCGAACCTGAGGCGCTGCGATTCCGGTGCATATCCCTGGGGTCCCTCTCAGCCATGCAATCCCTGCAACATGATTTATATACAGTATTTTGTTTATTGTACTTCGTTTTGACTAAATCCATCTTATTGGTTTAATTTCATCATCGGCATTTGATTGCTCGTTTTGTGTTTACTGTAAAAACACATGCGTTTTCCCGGCCGTCCCATACCATTGGGACTTCGCTCGAAACGTCAAAGTTGTTGTCCCACATGCGGGAAACATAGAAAACTTTTCGCTTATTTGCTTTGTAAATATTCACCTTGATACTTCTCTGTTGTTTGCTGCTAAAACGTGCATACTCACGCCGCCAATGGCGAGGCGACATGTTGGGCAATTAGATTTTTCGTTTGGCCGTCCACACTAAAAAGTAAATATACAAAGAATAGAACACAGTATACGTACACGTACATATATTGGATATCTCATGTGCGTAAATTTTAGCTGCTATTCATAAACCTTGTGGCAAATCATGTCAGCCATAATATGTCACGTGGAGTGACTTTATATCTGATCAAGTCATCTTCATTAGTATTCTTTATATAATTGTTCATCCCAATTAGTATGATTATATAATTGTTCATCCTAATTAGCATTCTTTTGTAGTCGTATTTTAAGCTATTTAAAACACGAGAAGGAGTGTTTTATCATATTTGGTGAGAGCACAGCGAACGAGTGAATCAGTTTATATATATATTACTTCTTTAAACTTTAATGTTGTCGTCACTACATCTGGAAAACCACGTAAGAACAAATTAAAAGTATTTTAAAAGAGACCAGGTTGTTTGAAAATCCCAAACGAACGCTAAAAATCATAGAATCAAAACATTCTGGTGTCTGAGCCAGAGTGTCATCGAATTACGATGTAATGTAAACAGAAATTATAGCAAGCTGATGTCAGTCAGCTTAGATGGTCCAAGCCAAAATTATATCGCATTTGAAGTTTCAAACTGTGTTAAAAATAGTGGAAGTAAAGCCGTAATTATACTTATTGTTACAATCCATTTATTAAAATGCAACATTTTTTTGTTTTAATGAAAAAATCAGTTATTTTCATGAGAACGATTTGTTATTCCATCTCAATTTTTTTAATCTCCAATCGCAATAACGTAAAGTAGTATTACCCGCGAACCAATGAGTCAAATTTAAGAAACAACCCACTGTTAGAAAGCTGAATGGCTACGCTTTAAAATGAATGTAAACTTTAACGTTTTCGTCTATTATTTGTTTAGCAATTTACATTTCAGTCGAGGATTGCGTTTTTTTTATACACCCTGTATATATATATATATATATATATATATATATATATATAAGCTATAGAGATAAAAAAATTGAGACGGAAGGGAAGTATATCCATAACTCAAAACAAATTTCTTACAATGTATGTTTCATTTTCTTGCTGGAATTAAAAAAAAGAGGTTCTCAGACGTTTTACAGGGGAAAATTCAACAGAAAAGTCCACTTTCACGATTTCGCTAGGCTTGTGCCATGTTTATAGTTCTTGAGGGTGCAAAACAACTTTTAGACGGCAAAAACACTAGCCAACTAAAAGGCTATAATTCTCTACATGAAAAAAATTGTCCTACCAATCAAAACGTAGAAATGATCTTAATTTTACATGTAAAGAATATCTTCCATCGTGATACCATATTTATATGACCAATCTCCTGCATGGAAACCTCTTGTATAAAGTAAAAAACACACAATGTGTGGCGGAAACACTGCATGCATGCATGAAAAATCTTGAAAAGTTGTTTGAAAAACAAGCCTAGAAATTATCGAAAAAAATAATCAGGAAAGAAAGCCTAATTTAAGTTTCAAAAAAATACGTCGGTTGTAATCTATAGTAAAATTTTCCTATATAACACGTCAATTTTTTGCCAACTGATATCACGATACGTCGGCAATCAGGTCAGTATTTGCCGATTGTCAGCCTGAATTTCGAGGCCTGAAAAACGCTGCAAATTTAAAGTGTTTGTTCTGACAAATGTTTGCAATGCTATACAATATATATATATGTATAGTATTGTGCATTTACACTACTTACATCTATAATAACATAACGATGTCCATTTGGGCACTCTAAAAGTAAAAAAATCACTTAAGCATTTTCAGAATCGTTGCACACTAGAGATGCGCGCTTATATAGCCGTCTATTTACTCATTAGGTGACGCGTCGACGTTGCTAATTTTGCACACCGCACTGGGCTAAAGGTCGCTGCTAACTTTAGTTTGATTTAGGTTGTTCCTTGACTTACCATAAGGCCGACCGTCAAGGATTGCCCCCAAAACTTCAGGAGCATCATCATGAGGCATTGTGGGAATAAAAGCATTCTATATAACCAATTCAAAAACTCATTAATAATTCATGAGGAAAACACAATGAAAAATCATAAGCGTGTCGTATACGTATACGATCCGTTGTAACGTTACGGATAAACACACGTTTTTATTGTAAGAGTGCAATGGAAAAAGTAAAAAAAAGGATCACTGCAGCCTAAGTATCTAAAGCCGAAGTAATTGACTAAAATCGTTCGAAGGCATCTCTTGCAAGCTAAAACATAAAGTAACTTATTGCCACAGCGATAGTTTTTATTGCTTCCGGGAATAATTTATAGCCAAAATTAATTATGCAAATAGGTTATTTGTGCGCGCAAGTTAATTTAAGTATAGTCACATGATTGGAAGGTACGGTATTTATCAATGGTGAAGCGGGCCATCTTTCCTTTCCTATTTTACAAGGGCTGAAGTGCACATCAAGAAATTGGACGAAAGAGATTTATCTTCTGTATTTGGGTAAATATATAGTATTTATGCATAATAATATGTTGGTTTACTTGAACATATTCATGACTTTTCAGTCGCAGTTTATAGGGGCGACTACAATACACTCTTAAATATGAATCAAATTTGACCATCAGGCATTTACAAAGTCTAAATTGTTGGAGGATATGCAACCCTCAGTGTGTCATAAGCAGTTTTGCTCACGCATTTTCTCGTGGTCATAATGGTTATTCATGATATAATCTATAATACATTTTGTTTGTGGGAACACCACGTAAATTTATTACTGCAAAGCGTTCGATCCGTAAGCCTGATTTTCATCAGTGCTAATAATGTGACTTGTTCAATTCACACGCCCTTTTTATATTCCAAAGTGTCGTGATCTGATGGCTCGCGTCATTCGAAATTTAATTAAAGGGTTACATCAACCACGCCATTTCAAAGGTAGTGAAGTGATTCTAATTGACGTACGCGCATGCATGACAAGAGAAATTAATTTCGCACATTAAAGAAAGCACGCCACGTACTATGTGTGTTTTTTCTAACAAACTAAAAATGGTTTGCGCACGAAATTTAAAAGCTTTAATTTGAGTTAATGGATGGAAACTTTGTTGGGTTTTTAATTATTGTACAAAATTTCAGACAATTTGCTTTAGTTTAAGCCCTTTAACTATTTATTTTTTTCCTAAAAAATTAGCCTTTTGCATGCTTAATAAATGCCTTTACCTAATTTGCGTATTGCTGACATAAGCAAATTAAGCAAATGTATTAATTAAGCATGCAAAAGGCTGATTTTTTAGGAAGAAAATGTAAGTTTGCGTAAATAGTTAAAGGGCTTAAACTGAAGCAAATTTTCTCAAATTTCGTGCAGCAATTAAATACCCAACACATTTTTCATCCGTTAACTCAAGATACGATTAAAGCTTTTAAATCTCGTGCGCAAGCCATTTTTAGTTTGTTGGAAACCCCCCCCCCCGGTTTACAAATTTGAGTTCGAAAATTTTTTTCATTATTCATTATTCTACATTATAAGTACCCAAAGAAACTATATATGTATAAAAAACTGGATACTAAAAGCTGTTTTGCGAAATTGAGAGCAATTTCAAACCTGTCCAGTTTTTTTTATACACCCTGTATAGTGGGTATTTGTGGTGTTTTATTTAACCATTTGCGGGACAGAGCAGTGTAATTGAACTGTTTTCATATGACCTTTCTCGAAATTAACGCATTGGTTGGGTGGAGCAGCTTTCTATGTTTTCAGATGGCCAACAATGCGCACTGGCATTGCCCAATTGTACCGTCTGCTACGGGATTTTCAATTTGCGGCTACCACGTTTTTTGCCATGATTATACTACTTCCTTCTTTTGTACGTGTTGTACATATGATACTTTGACTGTGTTTGGTTTTGTTAGCCTTCTTATATTGCTTATTCTGGTGTATTAGCTTTATATTAGTAATTTACTTCTCGTTGTTACCGTTATATGTTCAGAAGTAATTTCATGTTTTATGGGCTAGAGCAACTTGACTGTTTTAGACGTCCACACAGAACCTTTTCATGACATGGCCAGAAATCCCGACATAATTTATTCTAATTCCATAAAAATTTACATATCACTTTGATTGTACAACGCGATGAGGTAAATCGCAAAATCTAAGAATATGGTAGATCGTTTGCAACCAGCGATTTGCAAAGGATCTACCATATTCTCAGATTTTGCGTTTAGAACATCGCGTTGTACAATCTACTATATACTGTTGGAGCCATATTTCGAAGTGATACGCAAATTAGTAAGGAAGTAGAATAAATTATGTCCGTGATTTCTGGCCATGCTGTGGCATTTATATACAGTATAAGATTAATTGTTATAACTTTGTACTGTTTTGTGTATATATGTGTCAGAGTTTTGCCGTAAAATTTTAAAGATTTGTGGTGCAGATGTGTATGTGGTTGTATATAATTATATATTCTGTCTTTGTTCTTGTGTTAAAGGCCCTGTCACACTATTGAATATCGTACTAGCGTATGCCAGCGTATGAAAAATAATTATCACTCATACGCTGCCCGATACGCTGACATACGCTAGGGGTACGTTGTGCGTATGAAAATTATTTTATTAATTTCCATATGCTTCTGATACGTTTCTCTCATACGCAATAGTAAGACGTACAGGGCCGTTAAGGAAAATGCAATCAAATGCCCACAGTTGAAATCAATATATTGTGGGATGTAGCACGCGGCTTATTATTTTCAGATTGCCGGAATATTTATATATTTGCAGCATTGTCTAAATGGAATATTCAATGTGCAGTTACCTCCAATGTATGCCATTGTGATTATTCCGCTGCTCTGTGTTTTGTATATTATTCGGCACATGCAGTATGTCTTTGTAAGGTTTATGTATGTCAATGTCAATGGGTCAAGCATAACTAATGTAGTGCAACTCAAATTTTGCTTGTCTGCGTTCTTTATATATAGTCTTTTCTTTCAGAACCTGAAACCTATACTCGCCCAAGCACTCGAATTCAGCGTCGAGCTTATCTGATGGCACCACGTTCTGTATCATTAAGCCTGATTCTCATATGTCGCCGACGTCGGCGATGCCATTGTTGAGATCAGTGAAGAAGAAGATAGACAAAAGATTTTACTCATCAATGATCAACGACAATGGGCATCCCCGACGTCGGCGACATATGAGAATCAGGCTTTACGGCACCGCGCGGCCCAACATCGGTAGCATCTCAAGCACGAATAGCCGCTGAAGAAAACGTCAATCGTCCTTCCTCCATGGTTGCCAGTACAGCGACAGTGAAAGGTTATGACCAACTTGGTACTTCCTATCCTTCAACTATTTTACAACAATTTCGTCCGAAGCTGCCGCTCTAATGAAATCTAGTGCGGTGGTTCGTGGTTCGATTACAAAATAAATAAATTAATGCCATTATTCGGTAGATACTGTATGATACGAAATTGACTGTTTATTCATACGAAGGTTTTACGTTTGGTTTTCCTTTACAAATTGACGGTTCGCGAATCTCGTTTTATGCGAATTATAATATTTTATATGCTGAACAAAACCTTGAAATTATAGGCACTAAATTGTCTAAAGAACTGCACCGGGTGAATACCGCTTAATCCATAATTTATTTTATCCGAATTATACCGTTGGTATTCATTACGATCAACTCCACTCGTGTAGATGACGTCATAGTTTTAATCAAACGGACGCGGTGGTTGCCGCAAAAACTGATATAATTAACGCGTTTCGTATGGTTCCCATGATCTTTTGGGAATACAGTATATTGAAAAGGTAGTGATTTTTATGACCAGTGTATATGCCTATGCGAAGTGCGACTTCATGTCGTTTACATTCGACATGTTTAGTACGGCTTTACAACAGGTTGCTAAAACGCAGCTAAATATTTCGCATCTTATTCACATACTGGATGACTTCCCGATGGCAGCTTCTTCTTATCACTAATGCCACATTCATCTTGCTGATTTCTTATCTTTTTGCAAATATTTGGGAGTGCCAATGCATGGGCCGCAGGAATTGAATTAGACACTTTACGCATAACAGCGCGATTACCTGTGGATAAAACTACGAAATTTTAGTTACTTATTTACTAATCATTTTACGGCGTAAGAAGGTGATCCAATCCTTGACTGACTGGCTTGCTTAATTTTGTTTTGCATGCAGTTCTGTGGCCGTGCCACAAGAATGTAAATTGTAACGTAATTTGTAATTGAATGTAATTTGTAAGTCTTGTAACGTTACGGATAAACACATGTTTGTACTGTCAGAGTGCAATGGAAAAAGTAAAACTAGGGATCCAAGGATAGCGCAAAGTTTCAAATTGAGAAAGACGTAAGCAAGAGCAAGTGTATGGGGGCAGAAAGTAGAAAACGCGGAGTCTCATAAAAAATAATCTAGGAAAATAAACTGTTTTGAAAGACTCCGTATTCCGCACTCCTTCTTTTCCACCATGTCCTCTTACCCTATAATAATTTCTATATTTAGAGAGGCAAACACGCACGCGAGCCATGCACGCACGTGCTGTACGTGTGGTTTCAGCATTTCAGCACAGAGTATTACAGGCTTCTGTAGTTGCAGTGTACTGAGTGTCTGGGTATAGCCATCTATTCAGTGGTGTAATGAAGCATCTTATACAGTCGCTGTATAATTAATATAGCCTATACCGCTTAAATAATAGCATGCCTAACATCAATTTGTATATTGCGTAGAATCTCAAAAATTTTCTCAATATTCACATCTGAAATGTTTACACATTTGAAAGTAACATTGCTCGCTCCTTCCTATCTCTGTATAATGAATATAGAATCTCAAAGATTCTCTCAACATTTACGACTCTGAAATGTTTATAGTCTTTATACATTTGAAAACAACACTGTCTCGCTCCTTCCTAGTATAGCTCTGTATAATAAATATACCATCAAAATAATATCGGCACTTAATTGAATGCCCGTATGCATAATATCAATTTATATATTGGGTAAAATCTCAAAGATTTTCTCATTTGTAATAACCACAGTTGTAATACACTCTAGTCTACACGATTTCACACCGCCGTTCAATAGTCACCGCTCGTCCATGCCCTTCACTGTAAATTGATATTATATGAGAGCACGTGTATTTATTCATTTGTTTTATGTTGCAGGGGGGGAATCATGTAATAACAAGTGCTTGACTGAAATGTAACAGCAATTTGGTTATAACTTCTCTAAATGTTGGATAAAATAAGTACGAACATGTACCATCATGAATATAAATATAGATTTTTATAATCTATAAACTGCTATAAACAATTAGTTGGCCGAACGTCGCAAAGCTCTAAAACACGTAATAAAAAATAATTTCCAAGCTCCCCCTAGATTGTTTACTCGATCGATCGATCGATCCACTGATTGGTCACTGGATTGAATTTTTCTCATAACAATATAGTGCAAAGCAACTTTGCACTAAAAAGGATCACAGCTTAAATATCTAAAGCCGGAGTAATTGAGTAAAATCATTCGAAACATCTCTTGCAAGCTAAAACATAAAACATATACCCTTTTTAGACAGGGGCTTTCATGTTTTATAGTAGCATGTCTGGCAAGTACCACACTTTTCCTTTTTGATTGGTTTATCTTTGTAACATATAATCTTGCAATCAGTCAGTAGCTCGTTTTAAAACAAAGACGCACATATTTATCCACCATCTCAATGAAAAATTCCTAACGAAATGCCTTTGCTCGAAACACTTTTGACTTCGCCTAAAATATTTGGATATCACTTCATTATACTTAACAAAATTTTCTGGTGAACATTTGTAAACAAGATAATTGTCTTTTTGTGATATTTGCGTTAAATTTACAAACTTGCATGACGAATAGTTCAAATTATTATTAAAACCGTAAACTTTATCAAATTTATCGGAAAATGATATTAAAAAACGCATGTTACTAATCATTCTTACCATCATCACGGCTGGATTTAAAGCAAGATTCGTAAGAGGTTGCAGCAATCGATTCTGAGGCAAACATTTTATTACGATAAGAAAATGAACCAATACTTTAATTAGCCGTCTGTCATTGCCAGATTGTCGAGGATTTAGTTGTAGAAGTTGGCTGTTAGCGTTTCCAAAATTTGTGAGAAAATTTCCAGCTAGTCCCTTTAACTAAAAAGAAGAGATCCGAACATCAATGAACCAACAAATTACATTGAAGACATGTTTTTAAACACATTTACCATTAGAAAAGTGATGGAAGCCGTGGGGAAAAACATAAAAACTCGTGCAAATTAAAGAAGAAAGAAAAAAAAGCTTTTAAAATCGCGAGAAAAATCCTTCATGTGAAGACGAACGAGAGAATCCTCTCCAAGCTGAAAACGCCTTACGCCTTAATTTCGCACATTTTATATAACATCCCAACAAAAGTTATTGTTAAAATTGATTTAGCTAGTTGAACAAAAGTTGAAGTTGATTTAGCTAGTTAGACGTCACTCTCGCGTCTTACGCGTGGAAAATATGTGGTCTTATTGGTGGGACAAGCAAGCGAAATAACGCAAAGGATTTGAAACGCTATAATCGCGTTTATCCCTTTCATTCCCAAATTAGTTCTAAGCTTTTTAAGTTTGGACGAGTTCATTATACCAGAATGACCAATTCGAATTCCGATGTGTTTTACAGTGCAAAGTATGTTTCCATGGAAACAACGCAATGTTGCCATATGACACAACTGGAAAAAAACAAACGTTAATTCATAATAAAACAATTATGTTAATGTATTTTTTAATACAAAACAAGTTCAAGAATGTTCTTACTTCGTTTGGCAAAAACTGCATCTCTTCAATGTATTGACTCAATTTTTCAAAAATCTATAAAGAAAATTTGTGTATTAACTTCTAAAATTAAAAATTGATTTTGGACGCTGGAAAGAAATCTTGTCCGCTTTATCCTATGCCTGCACCACTTATGTTGGAATGTTTAGACACTTTGTTACTAGTGATAATATCCTTGATAAATTTGTCTTTAGAATCCGGTCAATTTCCGGACGTTTGGCCATTGGCTACCATCTGTTAAAAAAGGTTGATCTCGATACTAGTTTTACAAACCTTCGATATATTAGCAATTTATCCTACATTTCCAAACTTACCGAGAAAGCAGTCTTCCAACAATTGAATAATCATTTGTCATTACACGAACTTTACCCAAAACTCCAGATTGCCTATCGCAAGAATCATAGCACAGAAACCGCTCTACTTAAAGTAACTAATGATATTCTTGTAAATATGAACAGTCAGCGTGTTTCATTGTTAGTTTTATTGGATTTGAGTGCCGCATTTGATACTATTGACCATTCTATATTGTTAAATCGTTTGAAGTACAACGTGGGAGTTAACGGGACTGCCCTGACGTGGTTTGCTTCTTATCTTACTAATAGAAAACAACGCATTCATCTCAACGGTTCAATATCGGAAGAATTTGTCTTGAAATATGGTTTCCATCAGGGTCCCTGTCTTGGTCCTCTGCTTTTTATAGTTTACGCAAGCGAGATGTTCTTTTTAATTCTCAAAATAATAATTCTCTCTTAATAATTCATTAGCAATTCAGCCAATGATAATCACCTATTTGGTCACCAGATTCCATTTGGGTAACCCGGTGAAACTTGATGAAAGTCACTAGTGTTTTCATCAAATATCTTAATTACGCATGCAAAATTACTTGAATAGAATTCCTAATTACGTTATGCTTGGTTAAGAATTCTATTCAAATCAGCAAACGAAAACATTCTGTTACGTCTCGATTCATTTGAGAAGCCATATATTCGCGCTCGTGTTTTCATACATTGTTTTCTCGTGTTTGGATTTCCCGATGAAACACTCGCTCTCGTTGTTAATATATTACTTTAAAATCATTTAACGGACTCACATGGTTATGCTGATGATACTCAGCTGTATTGTTCATTAAATCCTAACTGTGTCAATGACCAGGAAATGGCCGTCCAAGGAATGGAAAATTGTATTTCGAACCTACGTGATTGGACAAATGGAAGTAAATTGAAAATGAATGACGGTAAGACTGAATGTATGTTAATCGGAACACGACAAAAATTGGTCAAATTATCCTTCAACCATATTGCAGTTGGTAAAAAGAGCATTTTTCCCTCTCGAACTGTTAAAAATCTAGGAACCCAAATGGATTGCAACCTGACTTTTCACGAACAAATTAATAAGCTGTGTAAATCGTCCTTTTACTTTTTGTACAATATTCGAAAGATCAGGAAATATTTAACAAAGGGTGTGACAGCTTCCTTTGTTCATGCCCTTGTTATATTCCGTTTGGATTATTGTAACAGTGTATTGTATGGATTACCGGCTTATCAAATTGCAAAGTTACAGAGAGTTCAAAATGCCGCTGCTAGATTGGTCTATATGGTTCCAAATTCGCGCACATCAGTCCATATTTAATGGAGCTTCATTGGCTGCAGGTTAAATTCCGGATTGAATTCAAAGTTCTTACCCTAACATTTCAAGCGATTCATGGACTGGCTCCTAAATGTTTGTGTGAATTAATGCACCAATTCGTTAAGCAAATATTCTAAGACAATTAAGAAAACAACTATGACACACACAATGTTGTGGGAGAAGGGTTGTCGAGGAGAAATGCTCCGATTATACTTTAAACTCTGGCCAAAGTGTCGCCCCACAGACTCACTATTACAGCAATATGATTATGATATAATTATATGTCCTCAGGGGGTCGTAGTTCCCCCATGTTGGACTTTACCCAAGGGGTAGTAGATCCCCGAGATGGGCATCCTAAATGTCCAAGGGGTAGTAGATCCCCGTGATGGTCATTGCTTACTTTAACGTCCAAGGGGTAGTAGATCCCCGTGATGGTCATTGTTTACTTTAATGTCCAAGGGGTAGTAGATCCCCGTGATGGTCATTGTTTACTATACAATACACTGTATAATACATTGATTTGTGTGAGTCTATGGGGTTGAGGGTGACCTTTGGGAGCACTCCATCCCCAAACAACCAAATATTTTTATTTTTACAACCAGACTTGCAAAGTCAATTCCAATACTGTATATTACAAAATATATATGTGCCTGTAATAACATATTAACCAGTAACTACTCCATAATACTTTATCTATAACACTACATGAATTGCATTTCATGTGAATCTTGATGCCGGATTGCATATCAAAACAATATTTACAGATTCTTATTTATTATGTGATACGGATTATGATATAGTGGTGCAAAATCCCTGAAGGGTGGGATGGGTGGTAATTTCGAAGTACTTTGCCGCAGAGGTCATACAATTTTGCTTGCAAGTGACACAATGAGGCTTACTGATCCAAGCAGGAAACTATGCAGACGAAGGGGTGAAACCTGATTGGTCTATTTTCCCGCACATGCATGGGAAGAGATTTGACAATGGTTTGTTGTTAATTCAGCCTTGCGCTTTGCACGTGTATGATCACATGATTCACAGATTGACCTTTGTACCAGACCTTTGTACTCTAGGAGACTTTGCACAACTTTACTCTTGTCCTAATGCTTGTTTCATTAACTTAAGTTTATAATGCTATGGGCATGTATAAACTTGCTTTAATGCACCAATTCGTTAAGCAAATATTCTAAGACAATTAAGAAAACAACTATGACACACACAATGTTGTGGGAGAAGGGTTGTCGAGGAGAAATGCTCCGATTATACTTTAAACTCTGGCCAAAGTGTCGCCCCACAAACTCACTATTACAGCAATATGATTATGATATAATTATATGTCCTCAGGGGGTCGTAGTTCCCCCATGTTGGACTTTACCCAAAGGGTAGTAGATCCCCGAGATGGGCATCCTAAATGTCCAAGGGGTAGTAGATCCCCGTGATGGTCATTGCTTACTTTAATGTCCAAGGGGTAGTAGATCCCCGTGATGGTCATTGTTTACTTTAATGTCCAAGGGGTAGTAGATCCCCGTGATGGTCATTGTTTACTATGCAATACACTGTATAATACATTGATTTGTGTGAGTCTATGGGGTTGAGGGTGACCTTTGGGAGCACTCCATCCCCACAAATACACAGCATGTGTATTCCCCATAGACGAAAAAACCCAACTCCCACCACAACTGTAATCGTATAGAAGACAGCTTCTGACAGATGATCTTTGTGCTTTTCGAAGACATATCGTCTATATTTCTCTTTCGACACACTTTAAATAATTAATTGATTAAAATCATGTTATATGCAAATAGAATTTTTTTTTTTTTTTTTTGAAACTACAAGTTGATCGTAAGACATATATTTGAGCATTACCATCACTCATACTACAGCTGGAACATCAGGGAGGCCAGGAAAAACCTGCAATATCTTTACAGGAAACCTGGATGGGGCCAAGACAACCAGCAGCTTCCCCACAAAACTTCTATCTTACAAGTGCGTGATTGGAGGGTTGGTAACACAACAAACAAAGCTCACCATCATTTTTTTTTTTTTTTTTTTTACGATTTATTTATTTTTAATGTCAATGTGCTCGTTGAATTTTGCAACATGTATTTGTTAACTCCACTTATTTTATTTGAATTATGATTGGTGGAACTTGACATAATATAATTCTCGAATTATGTATGTGACTCTTTAATCTCAGAAAAATAGCTTGTTCAATATTTTAAAATAGCAGGATCAAAAATTCCAAATGCAATTCAGGTGTTTATAACCAAGTGTTGTGATTGAACATGCAATCATGCATGCATGCATGAGAGTAGCAGAAATTGTAAGAATATGTATTTGGTAGACTAAAGATCATGCAGTATAGTGATAAGACACTAAAATTAATTTTCATGAGTAGCGACATACCATACACTGTACGTATACAAATCTTTCATGACATCCAACTTGCCGATTTATCGCAAATGTAGATAAAGTAGATCCTAAATTTCTCTCACACATGAACTTGATTTCCTATGTTGTGCCCAGTAAAGTATTGATAATGTATACGGGCCAAATAATTAAGTGTTTGTTTTATTAAAGAGTGCCTTGAAATAGCTAGAAAGGAAGTTTTATATAATCTACTTTTGAATGATTGAATACAGTTTAATGTGACGCTTTATTGAAACCCAATTCCCGAATCAGAGGCCCAATCTGGCCAGTTAATAACCTCAAGATGGTAATAAAATTGACATTGAAATACAGATCGATTTGCGTGAATAGTCGATACATTTGGCGTTCGACAATTACTATACCCGAATTCTGTGATAAAATAAATGAAGTTAAAGCATTTTGATTGGTTTGAAAAGCGAAATACGAAGCAAACGTGTGAATTCACCGCATACTTACGCACCAAATGCATGTGCATACATAAATACATTGATATACGAATGATATCAAATATCGCTTGTTGAATTCGTGTTTAGCCTCTCGATCTTGTTATAATTCCCCCAGCGGCGGTTTCATTTAACTTCATCGGTTGAGCCAACGTATTGCTTTGTCCACCAGGAGGGTAAAAGCGCTTGACCACGGTAGAGTTATACTTGAATAGACTGCGTCTCACTGAATCACACATCGATACTTGAGCCAACGTATTCCTTTATCCACCAGAAGAGTAAAAGCGCCTGCCGAGTTATATTTGAATAAACATCGTCTTACTGAATCATACATCAATACATCAGCCAACGTATTCCTTTGTCCACCAGAAGAGTAAAAACGGTTGCCCGCGGCAGAGTTATACTTTACTGATAAACTGCGTCTCACTGAATTTAATATACGTCAATACTTGAGCCAACGTATTCCTTTGTCCACCAGAAGAGTAAAAGTGCTTGCCCGCAGCAGAGCTATATTTGAATAAACTGCGTCTCACTGAATAATACTGTGTTACTGACCGTTGTTTTATATCCACGAAATATCTTTTCCAAAAGTATAATTTCGAAGTACTTTGCCGCAGAGGTCATACAATTTTGCTTGCAAGTGACACAATGAGGCTTACTGATCCAAGCAGGAAACTATGCAGACGAAGGGGTGAAACCTGATTGGTCTATTTTCCCGCACATGCATGGGAAGAGATTTGACAATGGTTTGTTGTTAATTCAGCCTTGCGCTTTGCACGTGTATGATCACACGATTCACAGATTGACCTTTGTACCAGACCTTTGTACTCCAGGAGACTTTGCACAACTTTACTCTTGTCCTAACGCTTGTTTCATTAACTTAAGTTTATAATGCTATGGGCATGTATAAACTTGCTCTAATTAGAATAAAGGAACAGTCTAACTATCATCTACGATCAAGCGAATAAATTATAATAGCGGTACCACCAGGAAAGTCTCTCACCACACTCGGAAACAAAGCGTTCGAATTTGCTGCCCCAAGATTATGGAATTGCCTGCCAAAGGATATGAGACTTTTGAAATCGATCTGCACTTTTAAAAAACAATTAAAAACCTACTTGTTTCGTATAGCTTACGATATCACTTATTAGTTTTTATTGATTTTCTGTTAGTTTTACTCATTTTTAGCTAGTAACATTTTAATGATCTTTCATACTGTAAATTTTTAACTTTCATACTGTATATTTAATAGTTTTTAACAATTGTATAATAGCGCATCTGAACATTTTTATGCTAATTTGCGCTTAACAAATATATTTTAATGATAATAATTAATAATAATAATAAAATTTTTGTAAAATTTTATTAATTCTGAGCAATTTAAAAATTGGATTGATCCATAGCTTGGTTTATGTATAGAGCCTTTCACACTAGATTGATCTTAGATCTATCTATAAATATAAAGTCAAGCGAGCTTAATGTGAATGGTCATTAATGCTTCAATTGCTCTGTATATGAGACAGCAAAAACACGCACACAAATTATGCGGGAGAATGGGTTTTGGGGGTAAAGTACTCCGGTTACACTTAAAATGTAGTCTGATCCCAACGACTCATTATAGCTTATGATCATCCCGCGGGGGTGTATATAAGACCCGCTAGGAGAGACTGAATGCTCCATAGGAGCTCTGCCCGAAGGGTAGCGACCCCCTCTGACATATGCCTGAACCAAGGGGGGCAATCCCCTTGGACAGTACCTACGATTCGACTGATTACATTCAATTCATCTGAGTCTATGAGCCTGAAGTTGACCATTGGGAGCAGTTTAACCCCACAAATACACAACAGGCATTCCCCATAGACTAAGGCCCACGTATAAGCGGAAACATGCATGTTTTAGTTAACAAAA